CCCCCAAAAAGGGACTTGAGAAAACTTCCCCCCCCCCCCCCCTCAACCTCCCCAACAAAAATTCCATCACCTTGAGGCAGCACCCGTGGGATCACCGGCCGACACCCAATCCCGTCCATCCACTCCCGAAGCCGATCCAGACATGAGGGTCTTCGCGACAGGCGGCGCTGCCGCCCCCGGCCCCCCGTTCTTGGCACCGTCCCCCCAGGAACTGCAGAGATCGCGAAGGGCCACGTTGCCCACGCGAAGCTCCCACCAGAGCACCTGCCGCGCCTGCCGAATGCGGTCGAGGCAAGACCACCGTAGGAAACACGAGTATCAACGACGGCAGCAGCAGCAACAACGACATCAGCATCAGCATCAGCAACGACTACCAGCAGCATCATCATCATCATCATCAACAACAGCAGCATCACCATCATCAACACGACACAGCAGGAGCAGCACCAGCAGCATGACCCAAGGCAGTAACACCGCCAGCAACAAGAGTATCAACGCCGGCAGCAGCAGCAACAATGACACCAGCATCATCATCATCATCATCATCATCAACGACAGCACCATCACCATTATCATCAACAACAACAGCATGAGCAGCACCAGCAGCACGACCCAAGACGTTGGTATCACGGACCTCATCGCCCTCCAGGGTGCCCGTGAGTCCGCCCGCCGAGAGAGCGACGAGAGGTTTCCTGGCGCCGCCGGCGATCCGCGTGCGGAGCTCGATGCCCGCAGATTCCACCTTCAGCACGGGCATGTAGCAAAGGCGACCGACCGATGGCACAGCAGTTACGGTCATCGGTTACTGCCAAGTGGCCCGTCTCCATTAGATGCTACGACAGCAGTTGGTGTGCAAACATGCTGATTTTTAATCATCCAAAATATTGCCATATAGCGCATATAGCATCGGCCGCCCGGAGGGGGGGGAGGGGTTGGCTTCAAGCGAATCGCCAGGTGGACTCAACAAATCCTGCTAACCTCACGTAAAGAAGGATATTCGGATAACGTGAATTCCACAATGAGAATTCCACCATGAGCGCTCCCTAAACGGCATCATCACGCCGGCAAAATAATCAAGAACAAGACCATCACCACATCACCAGCAACAGCAGGAACACCACCCAGGACCTGAACCACCTCAACCAACAGCAACACCAGGAACAACAATCCGAAGAACAAGACATACCAACAATCACAATAATGGTAACAAACAACGATCGCAGCGACAACGCCAACATACATACCAACATCACGGCAACAACAACAAACAACATGCCAGCATCACAGCGACAACAACAAACAGCATTCCAACATCACAGCAACAACGTCAACACTACCAACAAACGCAACAACGCCAACACAACACACCTGGAGAACCACCCGCGGCAGCCCCAACAGCTTGCCCCAGATCTTGGCAGCCTTCCCCCCGCCAACCCCCCGACCCTTCCTAGCCAGGGACGACGCCCCTCCATCAGCCCCTCCTCCCTTCTGCGAAGTCCCCCCAGCCACCCCCGCCGATGCCGACGTCGACGGTACCGCCTGCTTCGCCTTGGCAGCGATGTCGGCAAGCGTGAAGCGCGAGCCTCCTCCCCGGCCCCCCGCTCCTTTGGCTGCGATGCCGCCTTCATCAGAATCGTTATCGTCGTCGTCGTCGTCGTCGTCGTCGTCGTCGTCGTCTGAGTCTTCGTCCTCGTCGCTGTCGTCGTCTGCCAAAAAACGAAATGATATTCTTACACGTTCACGGAGATTTTTATTTACGCGTTCCCATTCACATGAAAATACTTGCACTCACAGAAAGATACCCGATCGAGGTCAGCCCCTCATTGACTGGATGTGTTGGAGGGTAACGTTAAAAACGGAAATGCAAAATGCATACAACACATTCACATTCGCAGAAACAGACTTACAATCGTAGAACGCTACCCGATCAATATAAATCCCTAATGACTGGAGGTGTTGAAGGATTGCTCAATAGAAAATGTATGGAGACCGTTTTGTTGAAATATCAAAAACGGAAATGCATACACGTTCACATTCACAGAAAAATACTTACAATCACAGAGAGATGCCGATCGAGATAAATTCCTAATTGAATGGAAGTGTTGAAGGATTGCTCTATAGAAAATGTATGGAGACCGTTTTGTTGAGCGTGGGTTGGGGGATTCGACACCGAGAATGGGGGACGGGGGGGGAGGGGTAAGAGGATGGCTGACGATATGGGCATTGTCCTTCCTTCGGCAATGCTAGGCAAATCAGAGGACATGGTTCTCAATGTCGAAACAACTGCATGTGTTCCCCGAAACCAACAACGAAAAACTAAAACAAAAATAAATAACGCAACGTCAAAAACTAAAAAAAAAAAAAGCACACCGTGAAACATCCAAAAATCAAACAAACAACGCACCGTCATCGGAGAAGCCGCTGGTCGCGGAAGCAGCGAACTGCAGCTTCGAGATCTGAAAAGGATACGAAACGTGTACAGGCATTCGCAACACACCGAAAGAAAGAGTGGGTCGTATTCGATTCTGCGATGAGGAGGGTCTTGATGGACGGAACAACGTGATTGGTCCAGGTAAAGAATGAAGGTAAGCGCTCCGGCATCTAGCACAAAAGACATCCGCTCACCATCGCTATCAACACCACTACCTCCAAGAATCCCACAAATCCCAAAAACAAAAACAACTAAACAAACCGCAGCCGCCGCAGCAACAAAAAAAACAGCAAACCAAACAGCAGCAGCAAAAAACAATCAAAAAGCAGTAGAGGCACCAACAACAGCCAACAAAGAGAGTCAACACACATCCTCGTCATCTTCTTCCTCGTCCTCCTCCTGAGCAGCACCGCCGGCCCCGCCCACAGCGCCAGACTTCGCCGCAGCAGCGGCCATCGCCGCCGCCACGCGCGACGCCCTCAGGTCGTCGAGACTGCGCAGCAAAGCCGCATCGTCCCTGACGGTCCACGCCGCCGCCGCCGCCGCCGCTCCCGCCGCAGCAGCCACAGCCTCCGGCGAGGCTCCCTTTTGCGAAGCGGCGGATTTAGCGGCGGCGCGGGCCTTGCGGGCCCTATTCCACTCGTAGTGCGAGGATATCTTCGCCGCAGTCCTGGCAACAGGGGGGGGGGGGGGGGGGGG